CTGCATCATAAAAGAACTTCCAAAAGAGACAATTTTCACAAGAGAGAGATATACGGAACACATAAACATCACTAAAATACATAAAAATGAATTATTGTGTCACGCTGTTGTCCATGCGGATATAAATGAAGCAATCTGAAATCAAATAATTCTTATTAACGTTATACATGAATGATCGAGCATATGTATGAGCAATACTTTTATAAAACAGAATAGATTATCAACATATATTATCTACAAAGAGTATAGATATCTAAACATATAGAGATTATCTCTTTTTATCTTTTTTTTATTTGCAGTGATTATCTTATGACCCTGACTGGGGTATTTCAGAATCACATGACTTTCTATGTTCAACCTGAGACTACCTTATCCAACCGAGAAATACTAGAAAATTGGATGACTTATCCCACACAAATGCTAAACTGGATGTTTTGAGTTTTAAGCAGATCTCGGTCAGTGCTTTACTTGAAACAAGGCATTAACATGCAAAGTGTCACTACCTGCCATTTGTTACAGATCCTAAACCATATGAATGCTGAACCCTGTCCACAGAAAAAGTTGGAGTCTGAGGTGGTGACATAAAAATGGGACCTAAAACTGTTTACACTGAGATGTCTAGATTAGATAGGTGTTCATATTTAAAGGTTTCACTGTATTAAAGGATTTGTTAGTTGTTAGATCTGTACGGTATAGTGTATATGCATATCACAAAATGTTAATTTTGCGAATAGATTTTGGAAAGTATCCCAAATGGAATAAACAGTTTTTTAACTGCCTAATAGCGAGAGCAATATGTTGTAGGCAGGCCGATTTAAAAGAGTTTCAGTTTTATCAAGCCATTATCTTCACCCAACTAAATTAGATGAAAGCTTTGGGACTAAGAAGCCAATGTTTTCAAACTATTTATAGTAAACTTAACGATAAAGGAACGATTTGCTGATTACGTAAATGGATATTACTTTTTAAGCGATAACTTAACAGTTTACTTGTAACAAGGCATCTAGCTGTAAATGTTCTCTCGTGACATGAAGCCTTTTATGAGAAGACTAAATGATTATTAAACAATAATGGTTTTGCATTAATAACTGTTCTTTTTTAACATAAAGAAATAACTAATGAGAGGGATTTGTTATTGTTCGTTGTTATGAGATATCATATTGATGGTGACAAACAAGATGTATGACAGGGATGCCCTCACTCAGGCTACAGTGTTAATTCTATTCATGTTATTCTGAAAGAAAATGGCTGATCATCAACTACATTTCCCATATTGCTTGTGTATGGAAATGAACGTCATCACATTTCAGATTTTTACATAATATTTCTTTAAGACAAAAACAAAGATGCACTTGGGAAATGAAAAAGACGACTAATTTATACCTCGTCTTTGTCATGGTCACTGAAAATGAATTTTTGAATTGTTTTGATCTTTGTTCTGATTAGTGTTTTGATCTACTTCAGAATAACAATTTAAGATATAACATTTCAAGTTAAGATTAATATTGCCAATGATATGGTTAAAGTTATGGCGTCATATTTGATTTATTTTCTATTTGTGGTTGCAGCAACCAGGATACATACTTTAAGTTCTTATATTCCAGAATTTGTCATGTATCAGACATCACAGAAATATCAAAAAAAAATAACTTCTGTAATTACTGAAATGAAAGGTCAAAGTAACATCATTTGTTTTAGGAGTTCACATTTGCATAAACAAAGATTGGAATTTGGTAACTTTACAGCTGACATCTATAACTGTAAAATTGCTTTTATATGACGATTAGCAAATTCTGAATTACAGCGCCAATTAAAACCTTTGTAATTTATCAGTTTACAATGATTACTCTTTTTTATCAAAATATAATAAACAATGTTAAAATATATCAGTATTCTTGGGTAATGTAGACTAAAATTATACATAAGCAAAAATTCATATAAAATATATTTATAATCCTAAAATGGAAACAAAAACTAGTGATAACAGCATTGATTTCATTCAGTGTACCATAAAGCCATGTGTCTCCTCTTTCCAATGGTATATCATTCGTTGATATTGGGTCATGGTTGGGTGAGTAATCATTCCTTTTGCAAAGTGGGCAAAAATCAGCTTGGGACCAATTTAAAGTCAGTGTACGAGGCCCAATGCAATATTGGAAGAAAACATAAAACCAATGATGACTGCATCCTTTTTATTCAATGTACAAAAAAGCCAAATTACTCCTCTTTGCAATGGAATGTCATTCATTCACATCCTTTACCCCTCCAAATTGCCACCCCTTCTTTACACATAAAGATGCGCTCATCTTTCCATGTCATGAATGGTTCAGCCCTGATTCACCTGTGGGTTAAAGAGGAAAAAGTAGCCAATTGGCAGTTTTTTCTCGAAGTTTTGCAATATCCTTGTGGAGGAATGCTGAACACAGATGCTCCTGAGATAGCTCCAAGAGAAAATGTAACAATAATTCAAGTCAGGGGAACTTCCATTGGCACTTAGCTCTTGCACTGATCTTTGCAATATCTGAAACTTGGTCCAGAGCCGATTTTGACCCACTGTGCAAATGGAAGGATTTCTCACCCAACCATGAATGACATATCGTTGCAAAGAGGAGGGATGTGGTTTTATGGTACATTGAATGAAATTGATGTAGTCATCACTAGTTTTGTGATTTTACGAGATAACTACTTGTTGCGTTTTTTTTGATATGCCCTGTATTGGTATATGATATATTATAATCCTTAATTGACATGAATATTGTAAACAAACCTTGTGAGTAATAAATAATTTATAAGTTTGAGTTGAGATTTATTATTTTTTAGGCAAAACATACAGTTAAAACAAAATGTCTGTTTGTACTGTAAATCTAAAGATTTTATCATTTTATCACTTAAATGCCCAAATTAACAAGGAGCAATGAATAATGCCTGAATAATGCGCTTGTAAAAACCTTTTGATGGAAATACAGTATTAACATTTTGAGAGACATGAAATCATTTTGTTAGTTAAGCTACATCTAATGCATCCAACAAAAGCAATTTGAGGTAATTCAACTGGAGTTGAATACAGAATAAAGATGATTTATTACATATTATAACTCATGGATGAGAGAAAAGTGGTAATGGTAATGATGATGTTTTGCTAAATTGTTGGAACAGATGTGCATAAGAGCATGTGACAGTTATACATAACATGAGAGGGAATTCATAGATGAGGGGTTTAAAAGTTAGAAGTTTAGTATGTATTATCAGCCAATGCAAACCCGTTGCATACATTTGATTTAGCTTCTTAAAAAGAGCTTTGTCGACAGGACTCTGATCAGGAATAGCTATAGCACATAGCCTAATATTATTGTTAGTTGTATTTGAATCCAGATTATAACTCATGGACATTCATGAATGTTCACTATCCAGTCTACATAAAAAGATTCTTTTGTGTTAGAACATATTGTCATGGAGTGGAGTACCTGGTAATAATGTCAAGGCACTTCCATATAGAACACTTATACTGTGATCTACTGCAGCATCGGGCAACTTTGGAGCACCTTAATTAACTTACCACGGCAGATTAGCAAATGATCAATCTTGCATAGCAAATGTTCAAAACATCACTGCTCTCAAACAAAGCACCATGTTTCCCAGAAGTCTTACAAATAATCACATGACATGAATCCACCAATTAAAGGAGAGAGACAATCAAAGGTATTGTCTACGTTCAGTTGTGACTCAGTTTGAACTGATATAAAGGTGACCTTACAGCTTAATTGACATGTCACGGCTGTTTCTAGTTATTTCAAATTAGATCTTCTTTAGTTTCATGATTGCCTACCTTTTCTATACTCACTTACGTACAATGAGGTATACTTGATAATGACACAGGACAGATTGTTTCAATGTAGAGATAAGAATAATTGATGAGAAACTTTAAGGATCTGTATCTCAACTTCTATAAAAGCTGATCAATTTTGAACAAATTCAATAAGATACTGATCAAAAATCATTAAATGCAATGTAAAGTTCAGGGATGATGTCCAATTTTCAATAAATGTGGGAGAACAAGGTTAATTTTGTTGTTAGTAGGGAGTAAATGATAATCTCATTATAATCTTAATTATGTTGATGGATTTTTTTTATTATATCTTGGTTACCGCCAACATTCAAGTCAACATATCAAATTTCCTCAAATGTGAAGGTAGAGCCATAATGAAATCAACTTTGTTATGAAATCAACCTTTTTTAACAACTGTTGACAACTCAGCCTCATTTCTTAATAATTATCGCTAGTATGTCCTATAAAATAGGAATCCCCAGTTTCTCACAAAATGTTTGACTAATCTTTCTGGATTATATCCTGCAATATATTTGATGTAATATTTGTGGTATTTAAGTTTGTTTGACACCCTTACACAATTCAATTTTGAAGGCAGTCATGACTTTTATTTTTAAAAACATGATGTCTCACAAAAATTCTTATGTTATTTTACTTAGCAAAGTTGATCTATCATTCACTCAAAAATTGGATTAATGTGTCAACGGTACAACACACTAATATTTTTAAATTTCTGTTAAGTCGTATATCTGTATTTTACAATTATCTTATATTTTTGTATTTTACATTTGATAATGTATTAAAATTAAAATTGTATTTTAGTAAAATTGTATTTTACAACTTTATTTTTGTATTCAGTAGTTCAATTCGGTAGTAGGTTAATTTTGTACATTGTAGTTTTTTTTGCAATAACATCAGAGAGTCATTCATTGTACATTCATCTGACCTATTTTGGAAATCACTGCTCATGACATTAAATGAAATGAAATTAATTATTCTCTAAAATGTGTTTTTATGAGATGCCCTAATATCTCAAATGTCAAAAATAAAATTGCTAATATACATCTGCATTTTTCTTAAGGTATTGTGGGATTTGCAGCATCGTATTAAAGGTCACATAATCCATTTATAATATTTTATTACAAATCTGATTTTGCTTTTTATGTACTTTCAGAAAGGTGATTGAGAGACAACAAATCTAAACTATAAAAGCTTCGGTTGGATGCACATATACGACAACATCGGGCATTGACAGATTTAATCTGCAGTCAATTTGAATAAAGTACTTTATATTGATAAATGTAGTGATCTGACACATTTGATAACCAATCACCATGACATGGATATCCAATAAAGCATCTGTTCAAACATGACTATACAAATAATCCAGTGATTGATTTTGACAAACATATTGAAACAACAGGAAAAGTAATCTGGACAAAATCAGAGATTCAAATATACAGGTATGTCCACAAGAACACACCTATCCTAATCAACTAACATCAGAAATAAAAAGGAGTTAACAGTTTGTGTCCATCATGACTGCTACAGATACAATTCCAGCACTTGATGCGCTGAGAGTCGAATCAAGTGACACAAGCTCCATCTATATCAACTGGTCTCTGAACAGTTTATATTCAGATACAGTCATAGGCTACAAGGTGCACTATCAAGCCCAGGGTGAGGGTGTTATAAAATACAGCACACTCTTAGAAAACACTGAGGATGAGTTTGGTATAGAAAATCTCCAGGCTGGGACTCATTATAAAGTATGTGTGGCTGTGTTTCGAGAAAATATCAGGCCAATGCATCAGTGTATTGATGCTTCAACCACAAGCTGGCAGATTCCTGTATCAATAGGGAGTAGTATTGGTGCAATTTTAGCACTTATGATTATTGTGTTAGTTGTGGCTGTAGCGAGATGTCAGAACACTGGTAAGAAAGGGAAACGCGCACGTGGAAGCAGTCGCTATGATAGCATGGGGGAGTATAGCACATCAGGCTTTCATGCGTCAAACATGGAGATGTCAGATACTGTGATGTCAGACAATGACCATTGTGACATAGAGGGACATCATTATTGTAAAAAACATTCATTCAGAGAGAAACAGTCAACTCATTGTAACCATGTCAATGAGCTAGATCCTGGTGATGATGCTGCAAATGCAAACCATGTTCATAGAGCCAGCTTTAAAGACAAACGAGGAAGTTTCAGAGACCGGCAAGGAAGTTTCAGAGACCGGCAAGGAAGTTTTAGAGATCGGCAAGGAAGTTTCAGAGACCGGCAAGGAAGTTTCAGAGACCGCCAAGGAAGTTTCAGAGACAGACAAGGAAGTTTCAGAGACAGACATGGAAGTTTCAGAGATCGCCAAGGAAGTTTCAGAGACAGACAAGGAAGTTTCAGAGATCGCCAAGGAAGTTTCAGGAGGAAACCAGGAAGTTTTAGAAGCAACCAAGGCAGCTTCCGGGACAATCAACATTCTCTCAGAGACAATCAAGCACCAAGTTTCAGAGACAAAATTGGAAGTGTGAAAGATTTAAATGGAACAATAAAAGATAATCAAGGCAGTTTTCATGATAAGAACGGTAGTGCTGGTGATCGACCAGGGATACTTAAAGAGCTTCATAGGTCATTAGGAACCAATGTTAGACAATCGAGTATTAATGGGCGCTGTGAGACTGGGCAGAATGGACGACATTTACACACTCGGAGTGCTGAACAACCTATAGAAGTAAGTGCTTTGGCCACAAACTCTGAACCATTAACAAGAGAGAACTACACAGCTCATTATATAGCTCACCTACAACAGCCTGACCCAATGGAAATGAAACAAATTGCCAAAACCCAGAAGTGGAACCATCCAGATGCAACCAGGACCCTAACTGTGTGATGGCATGAGCTCATTGATGACAATGGAGATTTCTGATGTTAAAATACCTGAGAGAGTAGTGAATATAAGGTTCCAAACTAAGGCTGAAAACATGATTGCCCAATTCAGCAAAATTGACATTCAGTCCATTGCCTAATAGGCAACTGTTATTTTCAAGTTCATTGCCTAGAGTGACAAGTGATTGCCATTGGCAGTTTGACAGCTATGAGTTTCGAACCCTGAGTGAATATACTGTATCCCAAAGGACACATGACTAATGAACAAAGTCATTTTGATGACTCTTCGTATTGTGAAAATCTGAAATTCTTGATTGACAATGCTATATTTGATCAATTAGTCACTGGGACTATTGTTGGCTATTGATAGGTAACTGACTACCTGAAACAAAACTCTTGGTTGATGGATCAAACGTGACTTTCATGGTAACATTTATGGCGATATGTACCAATTGAGGACAATAGTACAGTAAAACCTGTGTATAGTGAACATTTTTTTGCCGAAGAAAAATGTTCACTATTGGTAGGTGTTCACTACAGCAAGGATTTGATTTCGCGGCATTTTGCCAGAGACCAGTTATTAAACGAGCCTAAATAATAGAGGAGGGAATAACTGATTTAATTTGTACTTTATACCTATGATAACCCATGACACTTGCAACAAATTTTTGTTTTTTTGTTGTGTTATACAAACTAACTTATTTTAGACTGCCTGAATGGTTCATCCTTTTATTGTCAAATTTTAATCTCTTCATAATTCTTTAAATAGTGGAATTCTTAACACATTTGAGTCAGTTAAAGGACTTGATTGAATTAATTAAACTATAAGATGGAGTCAGTTAAGAATGATCTTATAATTTTAACCTTATCTGTTTTTTAAAATGATGGAGATGAGAAAAAGATTTAGTTGGGACTTAGCAGATAGAGATAGAGGTAATAATAGTTAACCAGATTATCTCCAATTAAAGCAATCAATGCTTCTAGACACTGCTAAACACATATCCTGCCTTACAAAAACAAAGCTTACTAAGAATTATAATTAGTCACACCTGTTTCAATACAAGAGATCAAAATCTCAAATTGACCTTTTAATAATTATTTTTAACAGGTAATATAAACATTAACTGCTTAACTCTGATAAGGCAGTTGCAGAAAATCCGCAAAAAATCTTATGTATCAGATTCAATGTTCACTAGAGACAGGATAATTCAATTAAATTTGCCAAGATTTAATGTTCACTGTTCACAGTAGGTAGGTGTTCACTATAGGATTGTACTTTAACATGGGAGTCAATGGGGGAAAAAGGTTTTGCCGAAAAAAAATGTTCACTGTTGAAAGGTGTTCACTAGAGAGATGTGTTCACTAACACAGGTTTTACTGTAAATGATTTACAAGTTGAGGTATTCTTGCTTATTATTGTGCCATATGAAGTTAATATTTGGAGTGATTAAATATTTATAATGATATCCACTTTCAAAACTCAAAATAGAATTGCAAATGAATTATGAAACAAAAATCAGAAAGCTCAGAACCTAATAGCAGTTGATAAATGATACAAGTAGAAAATAAGATATACGAGATGAATGGTGCCCTGATGAAGTGTTCATGTGCTTGGTGACTAGAGTTTATATTGAAAGAAATCAGTCTTTAAAGAAATATTTGAATATAACAAAGTATAAAGGGCAGCAATATCAAAATTTGCTATTTGTTATGCTGTTCCTATTCTTAATGTTAACAATAACATCTGAGCATAAGGCCAGCACAACTGTTTCTGTTTGCTGTGTAGGTGACAATTGTTCCTGGTTGCTGTTCTTAACTCAGCTAAGTCTAAAATGTATGGTATATGCTCAGCTACTGAAACCTTTTCTGTGTGGAATATGATTAGAAATTTGAGTCTACTGATTCCTGGCATTTCTTTCAAGGATAAGTGCTTAAAGACAAAATGTAGCAAAAGCTTATATTCTCAAGCATATTAAGGAATTATTAAATCAATATTTTGATGTTCTCTATTTCTTAGGAGACTTAGAGATAAATTGAAATCATCAATTATTTATAATCTCAAAAGGCTATTCCATAATGGGAATTCACAGATTGTGTTTGAGACATTGAGGAGCATGTAGGGTCAATGTTAACAAGATTTAGACCTCAATTCCCTATAACCGTACCCCTCTGACTTTACAATGTCAACATTCTCAAACAGAACCTGTGTAAGTTTCAAAGAAACAAATTCTTAGATAAAGGCAGAAAATGTAATATTGTGGTTTCTCACAACATATTATGTATGTAAATAGGCGTGATTAAAGAATTACCTCTAATAGACTAATACGCGATAGATGAAAACATGGTCATTAACATAAATATCTCCCGCAATGCATCACTTCAAGTGGGACAAATTTTCATTGGTCCGTTGATTAAACCAAATTCTCCCAACCTTAAAACCATGTTTTTGCGTATTGTCGGGACGATTAAGGTCATACTAATTTCAAGTTACAACCCTCACAATTGATATAAGTCAAACATATATAACCCGCGTTATATACACGAGAACTTGCTCCTTTTTCATTTTAAGTCATCGAGTCTCAGCTTCCGGGAACTAAGTCAGTGACGTCACCGTAGAACATTTCATGATTATCATGAGTTTTGAAAAATATTTGTGAAAACGCTTTGCAGATTGCCATAAGGACCTATATTTTTATCGATTGTGCAAATATCCGTGGAGAGGAATGTCAATGCTTAAATGATGTATTCAAAATCGGACTCAGTATATTTCAATGGGAAAAAACGGATGTAAAAATTCTGTTTCCGGAATTTGAGCTCTTCAACAGGGGAGGTGAGAATATTGTTGTCATTCTGAACTATTATGTACACCTCTATTCATTATGTAGATGAAGGTGAGGTCTTGCTATGACAGTCAAAGAGAAGTGTGACTCACTGATGGGAATTCAAGGTGCTATTGTAACCATTTAGCTCAGACAGTTGGTCAACAAATTCACAGAAGCACTTATAGTGCACTTATTATCATGTCTAAACATATGTTCAGCATAATTTACAAGATGTCATAGAATTTCTTTTGAGCAATTTAAATAGAGGATTTATAACAATTAATTGTGATGTTTGAAATTAATTGATGAATCGATAAATAATGTATAGTATATTGTATGATAAAGCTGTCTTAATATTTATTTAAAAGTGATGTATCAGTTTGGTTGGTTGTTCAAATAAATGGTGTATAAATATCTTGCCAATTGTTTCATGAATTGATTATTATTCTTTGTAATAACTCCACAAGGTCAAATTGGTGTGTTGCATGAAAACAGTCATTTGCAAAATATATAACTATTGCAGATCTTTCCTTAAGACCATGAGGAAGCAAACTCCAGATTTACACGAAATTCTAAAAATATTTTCTGAGCCTTTCTAGATTTGCTCAAAATGACAATTCCCCGGCTTTATATGTTGTTGATTAAGTTGTTTTAATGACAAAATTCCAAGTCAAAATCAACCATTGTATCTTTCTATGAACTATGGCCAATTATTTATCAAAATATGTTTAACAAATTGACAAATGTTCACAAAGTAATAAATATCTATGTTTAAGATTACTCACCTGTACAATAGAGGGTGACCCCAAAAATATGCAACCTACTAATTTTGGAAGAATAATTTTTGGATTAAAAGAGATCTTGTTTTTCATCTAGGCATGAGTTACTCAGTCATCATTATTAAGCTGTTTATTAAGATAGCTGATAATATTTATGAACTCGATCTAGGGGGTAGCATTTGTAAAAAATAATTGCTTATTCTCATGTCACATTGAACCTCCTTTCAGTCATTTTGACATCACTCAAAAGAAGTCACATTGAAATCCATACAGCCAATCCTCACATAAGATACAATTGTAAGAAACACATGTATTCATCTAAACTTTGTTCACGGATGACAATCTTATCCAATATTGATTTTTCAAGACATGTTCTAAATTGCTGGAGACATAGGAATTAGCAACATGAAGACAGAATATTAATTGAAAAGAAAGAGTCACAGCTGTGGCTATAGACAATATATAAAAAATATATGTACAGTAAAACCTGTCTAATCCAAATACCACTGGGACAAACCAAAAGCAATTGTGTTCAGATCAAGTTTTTTTTAAATATTTGAGTGAGTTGGAGGTTAAGGAATTGGGAGAGAAAGCGTTCACATTAAGAGATATTTCGATTATGGGCTTTTAGGGAGGTGGTTAGTACAAACACTCATGCTTTTATATTTCCAATAAAGAATGATACATGATTCTTTATTCCTTACATGTAGATCTTGGAATTTTTGTTAACTCCTTGAAGACTGGTCACTTTTTGGAAAAATGAAAAAATGATAAAATAAAATGTTAATGAATCTAGAAGCAAGAAAATGAAGCAAGACACAATAAGTTATATATCATTTTGAAGGGCTAGACACATACTTTATGTTTTTAAAAAAATGTGAATATGCAAATGAGATAGTGTCATTGTGACGTCATAATTCAAGATGGCACATTTGGATTTTTTACAAAATGGAATTATTTTAGCATTTGATTGATGAACTCCTACAAATTAATTCTTTAGAGCATCGAGACTGAAAACTCCGAGAAAATCCCTATGGCGATTTAACATGGGATTTTTTCATTTTCACGATTACAGAAACCAATAAATCATGCATTTTTATCATCAGGGGTCCCTTGGAGACTCCTAAGAACAAAATTGTCACAATGGCGACGATTTTGCTTTATTGCTATTCTACGGGGTCTCCAGGTGCCCCATTTTAATAAAACTGCAAGAATAATGCATTTTCTGAAAGTATTGACCAGTAAGAAAAAAATTGTTTGAATCTGACAATTTTGTGCAAAGTTATAGGCACAAGAATTTGCCATATTGCAAAAAAAGTTGAAAACGATAAAATCCCATGTGTTTAATGTAAAGTTTAATGTACAGTTGCAACATATTCTCGAATTTGGTACAGTTGGAAAGC